ACCAGACACCTCTTTCCTTCTCGTTGAACGCCTCAGAAATCCGAACAAATGGCATATTTTAGAACTTGTAGTCATTAAAAAATTTTCAAATAAAACAACAAATTTTTCTTTTGGTGCGTCTTCATGGTCGCAAGTTCGGAAATTGAGTGTTGACAACTATGTATGGCCAAGCTTCAACGGGTTGACCGACCGTGACCTCGCTTTCTGAAGTGTAGACGGTCAGACCCATAGTTCTACACAACCAACACCACATTAAAGCGAGGTTAAGGGGAAAAAAATCCGTACTCCTCGGGATGAAAATGTAGGCGCTTTTCGGTGATTCAACGTTGAGTCACTCACAGGTGAGGTATCAGAACAAGAAATATAAGCCTGTCCTTGCTGATTGAATAATATGTCGGATTGACGGATACTGGTATGTGCTAGTATTGAGGTGTCCCATTGAGATGCATTGATTGTTGTTCTGTCTGGATCTTGCTGTTGAAGTGTTATCAGATCTCAGGAGTCGTTCCTAGCGTGTTACTACGCTGGTATGCCGAGCGTACTCCGTTTACCATACAGAGACAAAGACAGAATGGGTACTTGATGAAGAATCCTGTCCTTAGTGGTAAAATACCACCCCTCAGTTCGACACAGACAGTCACTCATAGGAAGGTATGTAATATGATATATATATCAGGTATTCAGGCGGGTTTTGGGTCAAGGGTCGAATCCCAACCCACGGTTTTGGCGAGGTCTATGTGTATCCTACTCGTCAAGGCCATACAGTGGTAATCATCTGCCATACCGCCTACTCCAAGCCGGAGGCATTTTCACTCGTCTATCTCTCTTGCATGTCACAATTGACCTCTCAAAACGGCCACGAGATTTCTGCCATCCAAAACGCACCTCATCCGCGACATGGTAGAAAACCAGTCGGTCAGCAAATCTAAAATGGCCGAAGAAGCAGAATGAACATAACCCATCTAGCATCGGCTTACCTCTGACATAGTCTACGCCTGCATTGTGGATTGTACAGGCTTCTTCTGGTTGCAAAAAAAAATAACCTCCCGTCTTGAGTACGTCTTATAATACAGGTGTTTTGGCAGTGTTAAAACCAAGCCTAATAGAGATGGTCAAGTTATGGCATAGGGGTCGATCAAGCAAATCCGCCTCCTAGATTATTCAGACAAAAATCATATTCGCATCATATGAATCCCATCTGACGTTCGTTGTTCTTACTGTACCAAATACAACACAAAACACGCTCTCTGGGCCCTTTTATTTTATTTCTACCTCCTCCTCCTCCTCCTCCTCCTCCTCCTCCTCGATAGTATTGATAGAGGAGCAAGTCATGGCTAAATGTTCTTATCAATGACATCGAGGAGTGCTGTGATACAATTCAGATCTGGTGTTTGCGTGTGGCACCAAAGATTACTCTGCTTTACTATACGCGGCACAATCATTCGTGCCACGTAATATGCGGGTTGGGTCACTTGCATCATGAGTCAAAGCGGGATATCTTCATATTTAAATGCACTAGTCGCCTACTGCACCCACGTATCATCGCTTTATCCTCTTGGGCTTACATTAAAAAAATCCTCATTCGCTATCAGTTGATAAAAGAAACACTCAAATGGCCCAGGATAAGTTTCAAGTCTCGCGATATGAAATGGGGGAATTCAAAGAGAACGAGTGATATTGTGGCTGTGGCGACCTAGCCAGCCGTTTCACCTCAAAAAAGGACCCAACCAGGGGCGATAAATGTAAGTGAGTAATGGGGCCTATGAGAACAATCTTTAATAACGGCATTAGTCCTGCGGTGTCCCAATACCAGCGATTGCAAGTTTTTTTCTTTGGGAAAAGGACGAACAAGCAGCAAAGGCGTCGAGGTCTGAACCACGAACCCCTCAACACAATCGAAGACGAACCCCAGCCCTCCTTACTCCGGTATCCGGGCATGATGCTCAGAGACGATGTGAATCTCTAACACTTGAATCTTCAATTACAACACCAACACCGAAACGTGTTTTTGACCACGTGGGCGTCCCGGATCAACCACTTTTAACTGAAATTCTGGATCTTTTGAAATCTGCGAATATTGAGATTAAAGCTTCCACAGAATTGCAACTAAAACATTTAGTCAATATTAAAATGGCAACATATGAAACCAAAGTGCGCACATGCGAGGCCACCATCGATGAACTCAGAACCAAGCTGGTTGAACTGGGGAGCTAGACGATAACACGCATGATGCAGCGGTTGCGACGATGAAGCGAGACTTTAAAATATGATTTATTTTGCTGAGACTTGCAAGGCCTCTATTCTAGGGAATACCGCTGTTTTCTTAGGAAAGCTTCTAACTATATCGTATTGTCGATTGAGGCGGGAAGGATAATTATTTCAATCAACACCCGCTGCTCCTGGTTCCCAAGACATTAACTGTTGAATCAGCTTGAATGAGCCCCTTAGATTTGATATCAGAGTTACATAGAAGTACAATACAAATCTCAGGTACTGTGCAATGGCCTCATTGACTTATTCTGGTACTTGTGCCCACTGCATCTCTGGGAACCAATACGTATCCTATTGTCAGCGTGACACGTATGTATGTGGATTTTTTTTTCGCAAATGTACTGGAAGACCAATACCGAGATCTTTCATTTCTAAGTGTAGTGCCAGTTTCGGGACGCACTGCAAACTTGAAACTTGAGTCACTAACAAAGCATCCACGAAGGCCTACACCATCGAAGAAGAGCTCTATATGGCGCCAGGACATAGGAGCTAGTTCAAGAACAAGTTCAGCAGAGAATTTCAACCCATTCTGCATGGTTTTCTGAACCCGTAATTATAATGTCACTGTTACGCCAACCATACAATGAGGTCTCGGAAATGTGGAGGAAGTGCCTATGCACCCCCGGAGCTGTCTGTTGATACATCACCTCGCTTACCTGCTTGCATAAGTACGAGGGGATCCCCTAAGAAATGAGGGACTGGATCCACTTTGGAGGACCAGCGATTAGTCTGAATACCATCATACCCATATCAGGCACATCTCACATTCCTCACTCGTATCCATATCGTATCAGAACACCCCCAGGGGGCTGCCCTAACAATTCTATCACCATGCAGTGTGAAATTGAAGAAAATTCGATTGGTCCTTTATCATACTTGTTGTCATCCGCGCTCCGGATCAAGTCGAAAATAAATCGAGCGTCAGTGTCGTATAAATCTTTCGCCACATGAATAATCCCGTTGCCTGCCAGTAACTGAAGGTTGATGTAGGATTTCTTTCCTACATCACTCAAATTGGCCCAATCTTGCTCGGAAAGTCCACCGTTCAATAAACGAATATTATCCATAATCGCTCTAGCCGCATCCCCCTAGATCACATTGTCCCAAGAGGGGATTTCGTCGACCTGAGATATCTTGTATCTTTCTTTGTCGGTCAAATGGCAAGTATGAATATATTTCAGAAAGGAGGGTGAAAGCGACTTTCTACACGCAAATCACCCGGTCATTTATTGGGGGCGATTTATCTTGAGGGTGGGAGGGCGAAGTACATAGCCACCCAGCTTGATGTTACAAAATACAGCCAACGCGCATACTTGGTGTATTTGGTTGCGTTCTTCGAGTTTGAAATGTAACGTTCAGTGCTGGGGGATTCTTCCGCAGGTTTCCCCACTGTAATTTCGGCTCAGAATTGGATGAAACACACTACCTTACTAGCCCCTAATGCAGGCCCCGCTCGCGCGAAAACCCCTCCAACCAATGTATCTCCATGCGGAGCTTGCAACGTACAGCTGCGTGATCGTATTTCTCTCTCGCATGGTGCCTTCTTAGCACCCAGGGTAAAATCGAAAGTGCGCTTGACAGCCTGTACTCCTGAATATTATGGATTATATATGCCTCCAAGTCGGCCTTGCTCGTGGATTTAGTGGCATTTCGGAGTTTCCTTTACTTCTTGGCAATCAAGGTGGGAATCCCCCCATACTATATTTGGTGAAGTTGAAGGGTCAAAGGTCGATTAAAAAGTTGTAAAACCCCGTTCGAGTCTAACGTCCAAGATTTTATCCTACCCAGAAAGCGCATAATCCGAGGAATCCCTTAGAATTTCTGTTTTCTTGCCCCGATGGTGACGCTGTTCGTCCTGAGTCTCTCAAGAGCATTGTCACTTCTTGAGTTGCTAATGAGGTGCGCGACCAAGTACCCACTTTCGAAAAAAGTTGAAGTTTGGTGGCAAGTATATGGGCCGGGTAAGGAAGAGCCTATGAGTTATAGATCAATGTAAATGTTGGTTGTCTTCGGGGAATCCGAAGAGCTTTGTTGTCAATCCCTCCCTATCTTTGTGAAAAAGGCGGCAAAAAACAGCAAAGCTACTACCCCTGCTGCCTTTACGGAAGAAATTAGTTCCAATGCCGAAGAAAAACAAATTTCCTACCTGTGAACGAGTGTGAGGCTGCATCGCTATGCGTGACGCTTACCATCCCCTTTAATGAGATCCTGGATAGGTTTTAAGCCGTCTCATATTAGCTATTATGCATACTGCATCCATAATAGGATCATAAATTGATGAATTAGGCTCAGTATATCTCTGACATCTGTGGACTCCATGTTGGGTTAATGTTGATAATGTTGGGATGGGGTTTGCTTTGGATGCGGAGACATTACACTCTTGGATGATACAAAGGGGAGCCGTTCTTCATTCCGAGCTCTCCGAAACTCAAAATAGGCACACGGAGATCACTACCTAAATAAAGGTCCAGGAGCTGCCGGCCCATTCCGAACCTTTCATTACAATAACGATCTGCCTCCAAGCCATTTCTTCCCTCCTGTCGCGTTGAATGGCATGTACTGCCTGATCGGAATTCCCACAGCCATGTATCGCGCTCGGACCCCTTGCTTTTTGGCCCCCAATTGAAGGGGTTAGTGGGTTGAAATAGGATCCCCGTCCTCTCTGTCTTTCTTTTCAAGCCGCAAGCGTTTGTTAATCCTAGTTGTCCGGTAAGAACATCAACGCCATCATGTCTGACTCTGCCGAGATCGATAGCGTCCTGAAAGAACTGCAGACGGAGCAGGGTCCTCTTCTTGACAAAATTGACGAACTTCGCACACTCGGGGTCGGAACACTTGTTGGGTTGCCGCAACTTATCGTCTGTGGAGATCAATCCAGCGGTAAAAGCTCTGTTCTTGAAGCCATATCTCGTGTGCGTTTCCCGATGAAGGCGAATATGTGCACTCGATTTGCAACGGAAGTCGTTCTGCGCCGGCATCCAAAAGTCCGATTCAAGGTCGCCATTGAGCCTGGGCCGTCTCAGGCGAGAAAGGGGAATCTTGAGAAGGCCAAAAGATTTGTACCAGCTGAGATTACCAATGCCGATCAATTCCAATACCTCATTGACCAAGCCAAAGAATTCATGGGGATCAACAGCGGACAGGATTTCAGCGAAGACGTTCTGAAAGTCGAGGTATTCGGGCCCGATAAACCGGAACTGACGCTTGTCGATCTACCTGGTCTCTACAATTCGAGCAGCACGGCTCAAGGGGAACAGGGAATTAAAATCGTTCGAAATATCACCGAACGGTATATGGCGAATGATCGCAGCATCATTCTTGCCGTGGTCGGGGCAAATAACGACCTTCACAACCAAGGGGTTTTGAGTCTGGCCGTAAGATTCGACCCCTCCCGAGAACGGACTTTGGGAATTGTCACTCAGCCTGACAGACTTGAGACTTATTCAGACGAGGAAGAATCTTGGTTGCAAGTTTTGAGAAACGAAAAAGTCCCCTTGCAGCTAGGGTGGCATGCATTGCGAAACAGGTCCTCGACAAGACCTGACATATCAGATGACGAGAGAGACAAGGAGGAGAGGAAATTCTTCACCGAGGGCAAATGGGTCTCTGTTCCTGGATCATCTATGGGAGTTGGTAGCCTGCGACATCGACTCAGCACCGTTTTATTGAAGCACATTCAGCGGAATCTTCCTGCTCTCATCACTGATATCAATGAAAAGGTGCTTGACCGGCGGTCGAGACTGGCAAAGCTGGGACCACCTCGAAGTACACTCCAGCAACAGAAAGGATTTCTACTCAATATCAGCAGCAACTTCGAGCGCATTACCGGCCAAGCATTGGATGGAATGTACAAAGATGACTTTTTTGGTGGCCTAGACAGTGGAACAAACCCTCTCCATCAAGATATTCGACGTATCCGTGCCATTGTTCGTCAGCTGAACGAATATTTTGCCGATTCCATGGAAACTGTCGGGTGCAGCCAGTTCATCCGCGAGTTCAATGGTAAAGCAATCCCACAGGCACTGTTTGGAAATCCCTACACGAACAGTAGTGCACCGAATATCGGAATACCAACTATCAGAACCAGGTCCGATGTTGAAAGTGAAGTCAGCAGGCAGGCACGTCACAATCGAGGTATTGAACTCCCAGGAAGTGCCAACCAACTCTTGGTGGGAAAGCTGTTTCGCGAACAATCCAAGCCATGGGAGAAAATCGCTCGAGAGCATTTGACAAAGACTTGGGATTGTGTCAGAGATTTCATCAGCCTCCTCTTACAATACCTCGCCAATGACCACACCTACTCCCTTTTGCTTGGTAATCTTCTTGGTCCAAAGCTGGAGAAGATGAAAGATGATCTGTTGGCAAAGCTGGATGAGCTAACCGCATACAATAAACGTGGACATCCTTTGCCTTTGAGCAAAAGCTTTCTCGCAAAGATTCAGAAAGCCAGGAGTGATCGCCAAATTGATAAATTGGAACTGGCCTGGCAAACAGGATCTCGTTCCGGTGATAAGTCCATTACTATTGAGCAGCTTCGGCAAGCCAATAATGAGGTAGAATCGACTAGCAATCAGTTTGCAGCAGCAGATATTGTGGATCAAATGCAAGCGTATTACGATGTGAGCTACAGTCTCAATGCATGAGTTGGGCATTAACCTGCCGACTTGAAAAAGTGCTAATAACAACAGACTGCTATCATCACTTTTATTGACAATGTTGCCACACTTGGAATTGAAAATTGCCTACTTGGTCCTCTCGGCAGCATCCTTACAAGTCAAACAATCAATAATATGGAGGACAAACACGTTCAGGAACTAGCGGCTGAACCTTTCTCTATTGTTGATGAGCGCGGTCGCTTGACCCGAGAGTTGGAGAAGCTGCAAGCGGGTTCGCGAACATTGGGGAAATTCAATATCCGGAAGGCTACTACGCAACATGGTCTTGTCAACTCAGACACTCAGACCAAATCGAGTAAGCAAGCCATGATATTTCAATTTATGAAATATGAGCTGATATAAATAGCCGCCAAACGCACCGCCCCCGGTGCTTCGAGTCCGTCTTTGGGCCCTCAAGCTGCCAGTTTTAATATATTCGCGCCAGAATCGCTAAGAGCTTCATCTCCTCTAGCAGGGTCTACCGTGAACACGAGTGCCGGAAAGGTGCGCCCTTTTGGTAATCCAAAAATCTCGCAACCCGCGACTAGCAAGACTCGGAACCTGAATGTTGAGCCTCGTAGCTTATCTAGCTTTGGCTCTGCTTCCAGGTCCTCGTTTGGAGGCGGAAGTACTTCTGGATTTGAATCTCCGTCATTTGGTTCGTCTTCAAATTCTAGCCCGAGCTCTGGCACATTTGGTGCGCCTTTATCTGGTAGTTTAAGCAACTCCACTGTGAGCCAGTCAAACCCGTTCCCACCTCTATTTTCAGGCAGCCCTCAACAACAAGGGGAGGACACCGTGCACGCCACTCAACAGAGCAACAGTTTCCGGAGGTAGGTCCGAGCGAATTTTGTTTTTGTCCCATCAGGTCACAGTTCTCATTCATTTCTGGGATGTCTTTTCTTTCCTGTTTTCTTTCTCCTGTTTTTGTCTTTTGTTTGTCTTTTGCTTGGGGCACCATTCTTTGTGGATTATGCATAGAATTTCTAGCAGTACAAGAGCCTAGTCATTTTTATTGACATTTGAATGGCACCTGTGTACCGGAAGAGTAGCTAGCTGATACAAATTGAATACTTCACAGGGATTTCTTCAGGGAAGAAAAAGACGAAACCACAACGCCTAACACTCTATACCGGTACCAGAGTATAGTCTTCTCCCCTGAATTTTCAAACGAATCGCATGAAGTAGGGGCATACCGAATTCTGAAATGATTGAAGAACTCCTAACGAGATTATAGGAGCTACGCTTGAAAGATTACGGTCCTCTTGGAAAGCTCTGCACCGTAGCTTTGTCGAGGCAGGTGACTGCGGAAAACGAACCGCAAGTTGATGTAGAAGATTCAATATAAGGCGCGGAGACAGCGACATCATAAGATGGAGACAGGTTATCGCACAATTCTGGGTGGTCCAGTTTTTCTACTTATATCAAAGGTTTACGAGCTGTCAGGTCGGGCAGACGTGCGGCAAGTAGGGAAAGGGAAGGGAGGGAACAAGTTGACATAGAGAAAAAGCAATTCCCACATACTACATATTTGTGCGGTCCATGAACACGACATTCAAAAAGATTATGGAGCCAAAAAAAAAAATAAATGAATAAATAAAAGGAAAAGAAAGGATGATTCCACTGTACTGTGCATACTCGGATATATACTTGTTGTATAATGCATGTCGCTTTGGCGAGGGGCCAGTGTAAATGAATACTAATACTACTACTACTACTGTACGCCTATCTTGTTCGCTTATTACTGTGTAAGATAGACAAATTCACATCAGGCAGAGACATGCCTGGCAATAAACTCTTCCTATCTAATCACATCCTCCCAATCTGCCCAAGAAGCAGCTTCCCAACGTGAGACCAATAATTATTTACAGACGCTGTCAATATTCTTAGACGAAAAGGTCTGGGTTTGGACGTTCAGGACCATGAGTAATACACCGCTCCATCTCGCCGTCCAAAGTAGACGCCTGGGAGGGTTGTTCAAGTCATCAAGTAGGCCAGTCAGTCGTTCACGAGATATTTCCAGTGCCTCATAAGCGCTGCCTGGATAGCTGCTTGTCGTGGCAAAGCTGAAGGCCGTCCCTCTCTTCCTCAGGTGCGTACCAGCCTCCTTCAAAACAAGCTTATCCTGCTCTAGCTTCTTGCCATCGATATGCTTGGACACGCATGACTACCATATTCGTCGATAGAGTCCGACAAGTCGAGCTGCTGGAAAGGCGAATTTGGGATCGTCGCGCTCGAGGTTTCTAGAACCTTCAGGATCGGTTGAAATGGCTCGGTCGCCAGGGTGTGTCTTGTTCCTGCTTCCTGCTGCGAAGGGGAGGGCTGCAATTGTCAGCAAAAGCGTTTGAAGCCGAATCATTTCACTTACCAATGGGACTGGGTCAGAACTTTCCTGTGATTTGTCTTCCTCGCCAAGGATGGGCAATTCACTGAGTGGTTGATCTGCTTCATTCTCCTGGCCTGTCAAGCTGTTTTAGGACTCCATTTTGTCCGCAAGAGAAAGTCACGGGTCTGGACAATACCGTTTTCATCGATGCTTCGTGTTTTATAGACTGTGCAGACGCAGGCGACTATGTAGTGGATATTACGATTACCCCAACTGTTAATTGATGCAGTCAAATTTTGGTAAAGGTTTTGTTAGTTTTCGGCGGGCTAAGCTTCAACGGGTTGGCAGGTCGAGCACATCCTACTGTGACCTCGATTTTCACAGTCTGGTCGGACAAACCACAGCTCAACACAACCGACACCACACTAAAGCGAGGCTAGGGAAAAAATTCCATAATTTTGAGAGATGAAATTGTAGGCGGTTTTCGGTGATTCAACGTTGAGTTACTCACGGGTGAGGTATCAGAACAAGAAATATGAGCCTGTCATTGCATCTCTCACAAAGCCACATTTAAAGAGGATGTGAAGGATTCAACAGTGAGCCAACGTTTCTTGACCGACTCAGCATCCTATTCTTCAACATGAATCTTGCTCGTTTCTCTCACTGAGTATCTGACAGAAAATTGTCGCTGCAAATACTTGCAGTAGGAAAACATGGGTTTTAACAGACCTCAATTATGAGGTGTCCCCAGCGCTTTCGACCTAGTAGCGCACTTACGCTACAGAATAATCCGAGATGTCTATAAATACATCCTCTGCCAGCAGCAATTTGCTCTACACTTTCTCCACTTGACCACACACAGCCGAGCAACCTTGTGTCCGAGTTGCTTGATAAGTTCTTCCCCATTGACCCGGTACTGAAATTTCATTGTGCTGACATTTTATACATCATGGATTAGCAAGCCAGATACTGCCTGAGAGAGATACAGGTATAATTCCCACCAGCTGCACTGCTATCCACTCTAACCGATTGAAGTTGTCTATGCGAAAATGCCCCGTCACGGCAGTTGATCTACAGTGCAGCCTCTTTGTATATTCCCAAAATAAATCTCGAATGTCCGGGCCGCAGGTATGTGAGTTTTAGGTTCACCTGTCTGGATTCTTCTGATCTTGAAGACGATACGATTGCAATGGAACCGAGCTCAATTGAGCACAATACAGGAGCGCAAAGACCGCAGCTCTTTATGGTCTATTCGTCACAAGCTCTGAGTACCAGAACATGAGAGTCATGAATTATCTCGGCGATCTACAAGCCAATGTATGACACTGAACGATTCACATCGCACTAGATTGCCCCTGAGGCTGCAGCACCCCCGTTAGTGCCCTGCACAAGCCATGGCCTACACATTATCCCTGGTACCGTCGCTTGAAACCACGGAGCACACAATAAATGAAGAAGGAGGGGCCAATAACAGATGCGACCACCTGATTGCGAGGCTCCCTGCATAGAAGCTTGAGACTTCTATTCTTGCTGGCAATGTGAGTGATTTATTGCTGTCGTTGTTCAGAGGTATGAACTGATCTATCATTTCACAGATATACATGGTCCTATATATACAACAGTGAACGATTTCCAATCAACTTGGTCGTCCGCATAACACCTCGGAGTGAATTCCGACTGTGCGGCTTGGTTCCTGATCTGCACCAGCTTCGTATCACAACAATCGCGTCTTCTGCTGCACTAGATAATTTATTTGTGAGAAATTTTGCCCACCAAAACACGAAGACCAGTACTGATTTTCATGCCATTGTACATAGGAGCAACCCATTGCCGCTGTGAAATATCACTGTGAGGGAGCACATTTTTACAATCACAGGGCTCATTGGCTGTGAGGTAGCGCAAGTCTTACATCGCTGGGCTCGTGGCAGCGACAGCCGTGGCCATGGAGACTCTCAAACCCGCAGGCAAGAAAGAAACCATGACACATCGAAGTGTGAGGACCGAAGTCCTGATTTTTTGGGCTGGGAATCTGGCCCCTTTTATATCTTTTCGGCTACGTCTCTACCAAGGAACCAGTTGCGCAGAAGGTAGCAAGAATCACTGTCTTGTTATTGTCGTTGAAGACATTTGAACAACGTTGAAATGGTGTTAGGAGACTTTGTGGCCTACAGACTCAAGTTTCAACTTGGATTCATTGCTTTCAAAACCTGCGTTGAGCGTGGTGAACCATTATCATCACCTGTTGAGCAGAAAGCAACGCCGCAAAAATCTGATTCCCACATATCACTCAAGTTGCAATTGGATGCCTCAACGCGGTGGCAGATTACTTTGCCCGTTTTGACCATGGTCACTAGCCATGCTCACCATCTGGTTTATGAGGGTTGAGGTGCTTCAACAGGTGCCGCAATGATGGGTTGCACAATGTGGCAGACAGTGACATTCGATTGTACCGGCTGTTGGCCATAGGACGTGCCTCCCATTGAACCCACTACAATTCTCTGCCTATTTCTAGTTTCGCGCTACTTGAACGGTACTTTTCTTTGTGGCTCGCAACCAACTGATGTTGTCTCCCCTAAAACTTCTTCTGCCTGTCGAGACGCTACAATCATACTGGTCTCTCTCGTTTGACGCACAATCATTGTCCAGACCTTGTTGGAGACCTAGAATATACCCGAGTCCAGTTTCCAGGACAATGAAGTGAGTTATTTCAGCCACCATGGCTCACGAGCTAGATTCTCGTGATCGCCACCCCCTCGCCAGATTACAACGCTGCTATCACACCGATGAGACCCTAGATACAAATAGCACCCAACGGACCAATCAAACACCGCGCGTGACTTTAGAAAGACGCAGGTACGGTTCACGATGCAGATCCCAGGGACGACCCACGGGATAGTAGATCACGGAGGTTCTATTTGTGGCCCGCAGAAGAAACCAGAAGGATCTGCAAGGGTCCAGACACGATCCACAACCTAGTCTTGACGGGCCGTCAGAGTACAGATGGAACAGGTCTTTGTTGCTTGGGAAGTAGGTTGGGGCAGATGGGGTATTTGGAATATCGCAAACTTTTCTCAACACGGTCCGATCCGCGATTTAGTTGCCCTCGCAAGAGAGACTGGTCTTTCGTACAGGGGGAAGCTCCTGCTATCTTTATCTAGTCTATAGACCGTTACAGAAGCTATGTCTTTTGTCTTGCGTAAACCTTCCTCGTACAAACTATATTCTCCTTGAGCCTGACCCATCCTCTCCATCTGCCAAATTCGATCGCCAATTTGATAATTCTAGCAGATGGCTTGTAGAAAATATGCTTACTACGGACAAGCCACATGAGCTTACGTAAAATTTCTCCGGTTCTCGCACCAGAACAGAGACATCGATTGGCTTCCGAACGAGAGTCGACGTGGTGGGCCGGCCGGACCGTCCTGCAGCCTCCAAACCTTATTTCAACCATCTTGATCATGACGCTGAATATGGATGATCTTTCTAATAAAGTATCGGTGTCTTTTTATAC